TGGACCCCCCTCCCAAACCCCAGGGCCTCCCTAGACCCCCCCAAGCCCCGGACCTCCCCAGACACACCCCCCCCAGCCCTGGGACCCTCCCTCCCCTGCTCCGGACCCCCCCTCCCCGCTCCCGGGGGTCTCGGACTCTGTGACCACCGGGAGTGGGGATGGATGAGCAGGGGGGTCCCGTGTCCCTGGGGGGTCCTGGTGTCCCGGGGGGAGTCTTGGTGTTCCCGGGGTGCAGGAGGGACTCGGGGTGCCCAGCAGGGACATGAGGTGCTGCCGCCTCCCCCTGACCCCGTTTGCCTTGGTGGGGGTCTCAGTGAGCCCAAGGGGCCCCGTTTGCCCTGGGGGGGTCCCGGTGTCCCCTGGGAGGGCAGGGACAGGGTGTTGTGGGGCGCAGTGTCCCCGGGGCGCTGGGGGTTCCCAGGGTCACAACGGTGCATGGGGGGGCATGGAAAGGACGGGGGGCTGCGGGTGCGGACGGACCCCGGTGTCCTGGGCGGGTGGGTCCCTTGGGTGCCCGTTGGGTGCCGGCCCTGGCGTGCCTCCCTCGGGGCCCAGCCCTGCGGTTTGTCACCAGGAAGCGGCACAACCTCGGTGACAAACAGCCGGCGGGGGCGGCCCCCCCACGGCGCCCGCCGGGTCCCCCACACAGACACCCTGGGGTGCAGGGCGCTGGGTGCAAGGAGATGGGGGGCAGGGGGTGCGGGGGGCGCGGGGTGCAGGGCGCAATGGGTGCAATGGGGTCTGGGTGCGCTGGGTGCGAGCGGTTGTGGGACGCGGTGGCGCTGGGCGGGGGCGCAGGAGGGTGGGTGCAGGGGGATATGGGGTTTGGAGGGTGTGGGGTGCGGGGAGGGTGTGGGGCGCAGCAGACGGGTGCAGGAAGGATGCGCGGGTGATGCCGAGTGCAGGGGCTGGGTGCAGGGGGGTGTGGGGTGCAGCGTCTGGGTGCAGGGGGACCTGGGTGCAGGTTCTGGGTACAGGGTGGGGGGATGTTGGGTGCAGGGTCGATGCACGGTGCAGGTTCTGGGTGCAAGGGGACACTGGGTACCAGGTCTGGGTGCAGGCAGATGTGGGGTGCACGATCTGGGTGCAGGAGGGCATTAGGTGCTGGTTTTGGGTGCAGGGGACCCTGGGTGCTGCGTGTGGGTGCAGGGGCATTAGGTACCAGTTCTGAGTGCAGAGGGACATTAGGTGCAAGATCTGGGTGCAAGGGGACATTAGGTGCCGGGTGCAGGTGCAGCGGGACATCAGGTGCCAGTTCTGGGTGCAGGGGGACCCTGGGTGCTGGGTGCAGATGCAGGGGGACATTAAGGACCAGGTGTGGGTGCAGGGGACCCTGGGTGCCAGTTCTGGGTGCAGGGGTCATTGGGTGCCGGGCGCGGGTGCAGGGGGACATTAAGGACCAGGTGCGGGTGCAGGGGACCTTGGGTCCTGGGTGTGGGTGCAGGGGGACTTTAGGTGCTGGGTGCAGGTGCAGCGGGACATTAGCTGCCAGTTCTGGGTGCAGGGGACCCTGGGTGCCAGTTCTGGGCGCAGGGGGCCCTGGGTGCCGGGTGCGGGTGCAGGGGGACATTAAGGACCAGGTTTGGGTACAGGGGACCCTGGGTACCAGGTTTGGGTGCAGGGGACCCTGGGTGCCAGTTCTGGGTGCAGGGGGACCCTGGGTGCTGGGTGCAGATGCAGGGGGACATTAAGGACCAGGTGTGGGTGCAGGGGGCCCTGGGTGCCGGGTTTGGGTGCAGGGGACCCTGGGTGCCGGGTTTGGGTGCAGGGGGCCCTGGGTGCCGGACGCGGGTGCAGGGGGACATTAAGGACCAGGTGTGGGTGCAGGGGGCCCTGGGTGCCAGTCCTGGGTGCAGGGGGCCCTGGGTTTGGGCGCGGGTGCAGGGGGACATTAAGGACCAGGTTTGGGCGCAGGGGGCCCTGGGTTTGGGCGCGGGCGCTGACGCCGCGTCCCGCAGGGCTTCACGCGGGGCGGGCGGGCCGAGGCGACGCGCTGCGGCCCCCGCGCAGCCC